CGCTTTCAGTTTAGTGTTTCTAAATGATGTGTATTCCTGTACAAAGGTCCGGTCGGTGTGATCTAGCGCTCCCTCAGCCGCTGTTTGTTCTCATCTCATTACAGTGGTGTGTGTTTGACCCTCATACTGTACCGCGTCTGACGCCTGCGGCTGCGGCGCGTCTGGTAATTGCGCTCTGCTGTCGCGGCTCTCATCATCGCTGATGTTTTTAATGCGCATTTCTGCGGTGCAGCAGCAGTAAATATCTCCTCAGGCGTCCCCAGCGTTCAGCGCGCACGTCTGCGCTCACAGAAGAAGAATGCGCGTTTAATGAAGTGCAGCGCCGCGCGTGATGGAGGACGACGTGCCGCTCGCGTCCACGGGGCGCCATAAATCCATGCGAACACCGCTGAGATCTGCTCAGTGTTAATGAGGCGAGCGTTTACTGTTGAGCTGCGTGGTGCATTTTGTCTTATTTTTATATTTTAGATAGCACTTGTTTTAATTTTTTATACTACACATTTGTATTTTATATATATATATATATATATATTCATTTTTATTTTAATTAATACATTTTTATTTATTATTAGATTTTATTTTTATTTATTGTATATTTTATTTTTGTTATTTATTATAATTCTCATAGTTTAATATTTACATTTTGTATATTGTGTGTGTGTGTGTGAGAGAGGTTATGTGTTTTGTAAATGTCTGATTTATGAGCAGAGCGTTCCAGAGCGCTGATGTTTTGCAGCTGTACGTCAGACGCTCATCCAAACACACGGATCTGTTCTCAGAGCTGCAGCAGTGTAGCTTGTGCTGTATGTATGTGTCAGAATACTGACACGCTCAAATAAACATGCTTGTGCATCCCAACACACACATGTGCACTCGCACGATTTCAACACGCGTGTCTGAAGTGCTGTAGGCGTGTGGAAACTGGCAGGTCGACTCTAAATAAATACTGTGGGTTTCTAGTACAATCATTTCTGTTTATACTTATGCAATCAATGTCATATATATGTGTGTGTATATATATATATATATATATATATAAGTAAGCTTTGAATACATTTACATATGTATAATATCATGGCGCTTGCAACGCCAAGGTCATGGGTTCAATTCCAGGGAATGCATGAACTGATCAAATGTATAGCTTGAATGCAATATAAATCACTTTTGATAAAAGCATCTGACAAATGAATAAATCTATTTTATTTATAGTATATTAGTTTAAATTGTATATATAAATATATATATATAATAATTATGTTTATAATATAATAAAGTGTTTAATTTCCACTTATATAAAAAAATATAATTTTATATACAAATAAAAATACATTTTTATTTACTTTATGTAATTCCAATAATATATTTCATATTTAAAAACTTTCTAAAATAACTTATTCTGATTCATTTGATGTATGATTTTTTTATGTGGTGTTATGCAATGTTTTCTATGATGTGTAATGTGCATATTTATTGCATTGTATTTGTACTTGAGAAAATCAAGTTATATGATGCTGAAAAAATCAGCTTTGCACACAGGAATAAATTACAGTTTAACAGATATTCACATAGAAAACAGCTCTTTTAAATTGTAATAATATTTCACTGTTTTACTGTATTTTTGATCAAATAAATGCAGCCTTGCCGAGCAGAAGAGACTTCTTTCAGAAACCTTAAATAATCTTAATTATTCCAAACATTTGACTGGTAGTATCTTATATACTCTAAATAAAATATACGATATTAGTGCATTTGCTAGATGCTTTTATCCAAAGTGATTGACATTGCATTCAAGCTTTATGTAATTGACAAACTCCAGAAATGTCACATCATGGTTTTATACCATAAACACAGACACTGAGAAAGACAAACCAGTGAATTTACACAGAACATACCTGGGTTATAGTTTAGTTTGTTTGAGTTACAATAAGCTGTGCATCACATCACAGCAACATGATATCATAATGCATCTGTGTATGGTCTTTTAAGACACACTGATGTGACGTCATATAGAGACAGACGTGCATTATGGGTAGTGAGTGTGTTCTGATGACAGGGGTGTGTTTTGTGGAGCTGTCAGCTGTAGAGACTAATTCTTTCTTTCTAGATTGTTATGAGTGTAACTGATTATCGGAACGAAAACATGTAGGCGGGACTTGGTTCTGTGCGTCACTTGTTGATTGGATGTTGAGGTTGTGGGTGTGGCTCTCATAAGTGTATGCAAATGAGCGTGAGCTGCAGGGGCGGAGTTTAAGCGTAATACATGATTGGAAGATCCAGTTATGACATTCTGATTAAACACTACAAAAAATAAAACATTTGCACGGATGAATATGTTTACAATAAGATCTATAAAACCAGAAAATTATATTCACTACCAATCAAAAGTTTTTTTTATGTGTTTTAAAGAAGTCTCTTCTGCTCAGCAAGGCTGCATTTATTTGATCAAAAATACGGTAAAAATTTTTTTTATATTGTTTTAAAGAAAATATTGTTAAATTATTGTATATAATTCATTATTTATTGAGGCTATCATGGATATTTTCTTTTCTACTACTCCGAGTTTACCTTGAAAATATCCTTCGCTGTATATATGCGGTTAAATAATGAATACATTATTGAATAATCATTTAATAATGAAAAAAAGACAGTAATTTGAGTGTCAAGTTATATATCTTTGACTTTTATTAAAGATGCATTGTGTTCAGTTTTATCCGAAGCGTCTGAAGCTGATATATTCTCATGCATTCAATGGGAACTGAGCCCATGTCAGTCCAGTGCGTACAGTACAAACACAATCTCTGTGATTGTGAGGAGTTTCTCTGACATGTAATAATGCATTAACTGCGCTTTAAGTCGCAGCAAGTCACGGTCACGAAGCCGCGTCGCCGTTAAAACGCTTTCAGTGATGCTGCGGAGCTCAAATAAGCTTGTAAATTGATTCTGTTGAATGGAATAAGCTGTCTTTATTTCTTTGGGAAGCTCATGTGTGGTTAATCCCGTCTGGATGCGGCGTTCCGGGCCGCTTGAGGAAAGAAAAAGCCCTTCTGTGCTTGATTAAACATTCCTCATTATTAATGTGTACTCCACTCATCTAACTACTAACTAGTTTCCTGACCAGAGGACTAACCATCACTAGAACAGAATATAATTCTGTTTAATATAGTTTCTTCAGAGTCATAATCACGTCTAATCACTTGTTTCCACAGCTACTCGCCTGACTGAACATGAATCATATTTCATATAAATATTACACTGATTATCACACGGCTTCATATTTTTCCATATCAAGAGCTCATAATTACATACGTGAATTCATTAAACACGAGTAGTTTAGAGGACGGTTATTGTTCTTTACAGATGCAGTCAGACGGTAAAACATGAAGACATGAACAATGAAATTACAGTCATATCAGTTATTTAGAAAGAGCTGTATTAATCTGTCTAAAAGATATATTTAAATATGAATTATTCAAATATTAAATTAATTAAGACATATATAATTATTTATAAAATTGATATCATATGTTATAATATTATAATTAAAATTAAAAAAAAAAATTGTGTTCATTACATGCATGAATGTATTTTTATTTATTTATTTTCATTTATCATTAGTGGTGTGGATTTTATTGACTCTTTCTACATGGAAAAGAGATTCACCAGTAGGCGTTGACAAGTGACTGACTGTAAGAGTGAATCATTGAATCGTTCATTCAAACGATTTGTTCAAACCCAGTGATTTATTCAGAAATGTATCAAGTGACTGTTTTTTATGAGTGAGTCATTGAATCATTTACTGAACTGATTCGTTTAAAATGCTGATTCATTTAAGAACAAATCAAGTGACTGTTTTTATGAGTGAGTCATTGAATCATTCACTGAACTGATTTGTTTAAAGCATTTTTTCATTAAAGAACAAATAAAGTGACCGTTTTTATGAGTGAGTCATTGAATCATTCGCTGAACTGATTCATTTAAAGCGTTTTGTTCATTAATGAAAAAATCAAGTGACTGTTTTTATGAGTGAGTCATTGAATCATTCACTGAACTGATTTGTTTAAAAAGCTGATTCATTCAAGAACAAATCAAGTGACTGTTTTTATGAGTGAGTCATTGAATCATTCACTAAACTGATTCGTTAAAGCATTTTTTCATTAAAGAACAAATCAAGTGACTGTTTTTATGAGTGAGTCATTGAATCATTCACTGAACTGATTCATTTAAAGCGTTTTGATCATTAAAGAACAAATCAAGTGACTGTTTTTATGAGTGAGTCATTGAATCATTCACTGAACTGATTAGTTTAAAATGCTGATTCATTTAAGAACAAATCAAGTGACTGTTTTTATGAGTGAGTCATTGAATCATTCACTAAACTGATTCATTTAAAGCATTTTGTTCATTAAAGAACAAATCAAGTGACTGTTTTTAATGAGTGATTCATTGAATCATTCGCTGAACTTATTCGTTTAAATGCTGATTCATTTAAGAACAAATAAAGTGACTGTTTTCTGTGAGTGAGTCATTGAATCATTCACCTTAAACGATTCATTTAAAACTAATAATTTATTCAGAAATTAATAAAGCGATTGGTTTTTAAGATTGAGTCATTGAATCGTTCACTGAACTGGTTAGTTGAAAACACCGATCCATTAAAGAATGAATCAAATGATTGTTTTTATGAGTGAGCCATTGAATCATTCATTCAAATGATTCGTTCAAAACCGCTGATTTGGTTTGGTTGACAGAGCACAAACAGACAAAGTAACTGGAAATATTGTGGCTAAAATGGAAGTTACTTGAAATTAACTTCTTGTTTATTGAACTTATAAAAATCTAAAACCCTGATGAACGAGTGTGTCAACATCCGTGATTAAAATATATGTGTTTATGTTTTTAACATGAGTGTTCATGCATAATTGATGTAAAATCATCATTAACTCAGTACTTACAGTTGGTGTTTGACTCGTGTGTGTTTACAGTCTACATGATTCATCAAGATGTTTGCATTAAAGCAATACGCCACTCAAGCCGGGCTTTACAGTGATTTTACCAGGGTAAGGGGCCAAGGGCTGTTTTTAGGTATGATGTGAAGCGCAGTGCCTCAAACCCAATTAACTGTGGTAAAATCGCTGTAAAAGTGTGGCGTCTCTTACACAGGTCTGGTGTTGATCTCCATCAGGAGCTCCTCAGATCTTTCCCAGCATTGCATCAGATCTCTGCTGAATTTCAGAGACTCTTTCAGGGGTTTACTGCTTGTTTTTGATTGATGAGTCATTTCAGACCATTTCAGGAGTCTGTGTTTGAGTAGACAGTGCAGATGATGGGACAGAGAATCTGTGAGGTTTGACTAATGAAGCATCATCATCATCATCATCATCACTGGATCACACTCAGCTGATTGATATTGATTATAATTGAGATTACCTGTTCAGTTGAATCTGTGCACATTTTGTCTTATGTTGATGAAGAGCAACAAAGCTTGACAAACATTTAGCCGGTTTATGAGTTGACGACAACCATATTTCTCATCATCCTCTGTAGCAGGAGGAGAATGATAAATTACACAAAACATCCATATTTGAGCTTCATTTTTTAATATTTTGTATATTTATATTTTATATTATCTATATTTGTTTTATATTTTAATTTTACACTTTTAATCATTTTGTTTTAATCATTTTTTATATTTTTATATTCATATTAAATTTTTTGATTTTATATTCATATTTATTTTTATATTTTAAAGTTTTAGTCATTTTGTTGTGTTTTTGTCATTAACAATTTTTTTATTTCTAAAAAAAATTGTGTTTGTTTTAGTTTTTGATATATTATTATAGTTTTTGCTTATTTTTTGAATGAGTTGTTTTTATTTACATATTTTTTGTATTTATATTTTTCTTTATATTTTAATTAGTGCTAGGCAACGATTAATCGCGATTAATCGCATCCAAAATAAAAGTTTTTGTTTACATTATATACAGTATGTGTGTGTACTGTGTATATTTATTATGTATATATAAATACACACACACACACATGCATATATTTAAGAAAAATATAATATGTTTATATATTAAATATATTATTATAATATAAATTATATGAATATAAATATATACATGTAAATATTTTCAAAATATATACTGTATGTGTGTGTATTTATATATACATAATAAATATACACAGTACAGTACACACACACACACACATATATAATGTAAACAAAAACTTTTATTTTGGAAGCGATTAATCGCGATTAATCGTTGCCCAGCACTGATTTAAATGTTTTTGTCATTTTGTTCTGTGTTTTTTGTGAATGTAGCATTTATTGTTTTAGTTTTAGTTTATTAAGTTTTAGTTATATACTTGAAACAACAGTTATAAACTAAACTGAATGAAAATAAGAAATGCTGCCTTGACAACAAGCTGAAATAAAATAACCTTAAGTTCATAATATTGCATTTCAATTAATGAGAATGTATTTTTTATGGTTTTAGTTAACGATAATTACCGTGCACTAGTGCTAAAAGCTTCTTGTGCTTGTCAAAAGATAAAAAAAGAAATACTCGTGTCCTTTTCATCATTTTTATTCACACATCTTGTCATAATTAAGATTTCCGGACTGTTGGATTCAGTTTCTGTTTCTGATCTCAGTCTCTTGTTTTTGTCTTTGCGTCTTCCAGAACGTTCCTCAGCTGCCGTGTGGAAAAGCGCTTTACAGCTACGAGGGCAAAGAAGCGGGCGACCTGAAGTTCAGCAAAGGTGATATCATCATCCTGCGGCGGAAGGTGGACGAGAACTGGTTCCACGGCGAGCTGAACGGCAGCCACGGATTCCTTCCGGCGAGCTACATCCAGTGCATCCGGCCGCTGTCCCAGACGCCGCCGCAGGGGAAAGCACTCTACGACTTCGAGGTCAAAGACAAAGACCAGGACAAAGACTGCCTGACCTTCACTAAGGTACAAACACGGCTTCTGTCTGCACACCAAACACTGGTCGGTTGAATGTTTCTGAAAGAGTCTCTTCTGCTCATCAAAGCTGCATTTATTTGAACAAAAATTAGGGGTGCTCCGATCAGGGTTTTTGAGGCCGATCACAGAAAGCAGTATCTGCCGATACCGATCACCGATACCGATCTTTTTAAAGCCTTCTTTTGATCATTTATAACTATTTATAGTGATACTCCAATCAGGATTTTTAGACATTTATTAAGGCCTAAATTTCATTTTTGAAAATGTGGTGAATTCCCCTCTTATGTGTCTCTTGTGAGAAGAGAAGCAGCTTTCACACAGGAGTCCGCTACTGATCTGTGGCTGTTTACCACAAACACAACATTTATCCATTATTTTGATTTCAAATCCAAACATTGTCATTGAAAATGCTTTTTCAGCATTGCAATTCTTTTTTTACACAGTACAGCAGTGATCCTCAAATCTGGCTCGCGAGATCCACTTTCCTGCAGAGTTTAGCTCCAACCCTATAATCAAACAAACTTACCTGTGATTTTCTAATGATCCTGAAGAAACATTTAAACTACTTTTCTTACGTTATCACAAACTTACCATTGACAGAAATAGTCAGCTCTACTGCCTTTCCTTTTGCATTGAAATCTTTATTACCAGCAATCCTGCGGTTCATAAAGAACTTTGTTTTCCTTCCTCCACGAGTGCCATCTATTATTGCCTTCCTTATCTAAAAGTGCTCTTTCCCTTTAAACCTAGCCATATGTGTTGACTGTGAAATACAGTAGACTTTAATTATATGTATCTATGGTGTAATTACTACATTTTCGTGTCAATCCATGTTCATATTTACTGCAAACAATG